ATCTTGTTTGGTAACGTAGCTTTTTCAATTACTTTTTGTGGGAGTTTGCGTGGGGCAAGTAATCAGTGAAGTAAGCAAGGAGCGAGTCTTTTTCTCCGGGTAGAAAATCATAGCTGCACATTTTATCAATATGTTGAGATAACATTGATATCACTTGCCAGGAAGCTCTTTGAACTGGAGCACGCAATGGCGGTGCGTTACTGATCACCTGAAATTGAAGAAGATCGCAATTCGAAGAGGAGGGACACTCGAATAGTAACAGTCGCTGTAACGGGGCAGTGTTTTGGACGGAGGTTCGTAGAATCTGTATTGTGACAAAAAAGCAACGCTCTTGATCACAAATCATGTGCCACAAAACCACTGAACCCCTATCTTCCTTACACCTTTGTACTTATGTGCCGCGCTTGCTGGGTGCCGAAAACCCTTTCCTGCACCCTTTTCCGACACTTTCTATGATTTTCGAGCTCACCTCCCCTGACCTTGTTTTACCTCTGGAAGCTCCAGCCGTTTGTCAGTAACTTTATGTCCTTACGGATCCTAGTTGTCGCACTTGAAAATGTATCAAATGTACTAGGTACCATGGCGAGGGGCTTCTATACACTAGTGGTGAGTCAACCAATCACGAGTCCATAGTGCCACATTTAATTTTGTGGTATGACTTGTGCGATTACTTTCGTAATATTTGATTCTGCTTTGAGACCATACCATGAATGATCCTTCAACCTCATCACGGAGGGCTTCTACGATAGGAGCAGTATCCGTTACACAATTCAAAGCAGGCAAGACGCTGTTGGTGAGTTGAGTGGGGTGGATTTTTTTCAGACAGTACGTATTGCTTGATGCATAATTACTAAGGCGGCGACCTATGGCGTTTGCGTATTTCAAACCATAAAGGCTAAAGGCTTAAATTAAATCGCCACTTTTGATCCTTTGAACTCACGTTGTGTTTTAACTTACTAATGCTGTCTTTCTTTGCTTGGCTCCTGGCGTTTATAGCGTGGTCACGTGATGTGATGTCATCGGGCCCGCTGCAGGCCATTCAGGAGCGGGTAAAATGCATATTGTCAATGATTATTGGAACGTGTGTAGCTTCACAATCATTGAACAACACCTTAATCGGCACGTAAGTGATTGACAGGTTTATAATGCAGTCCACATGAGATACTCCATTGATGCCCCGATTCCCTGAAAATCCGCACAAAACAGCACTGTCGCCATGATGGGGGAGGGGGGGGGGAGGGCTAGCGATACACAAATACTAATCACAGCCATACTTGGGTCCGGTCCGTTGCTTCGTATCATGTTTTACGACAAAGCTACTTTCTAAAAAGGGGCAACGGGCCCGGCGCTTTTTGAGATGTAACGAACTGAGTGATTTGCGTTATTTCCGTGACTCCGCCTCGTTATCTCGTTGCCTTTGGCTTTAACGCTGATATGCAGAAATTAAGATGTTGAAAAAGGGGAAACAAGGCGGTTTGGGACATCACTTGAGTGTTCAACTTCTGAAAACAATCAAGTATGACTATTGTGGCGCAAAACGTAGAAGTTAGAAAAATGCCAACACGTTTTGTTTGAAATGCGTAAAATCCTGACCGATAGATTTCTTAGGCCTTACGCCTATACGAGAAAGGAGGCTGTGCTGCACTAGTGCCCTTAGCTTCGTGCAATATGTACAGTAAAAAAGCTGTGCGTTTACATAGACACGAATGGCAAGCCTGCATCTAATCATTTGCAATTGATTAAACTTAATTTTTAAACGACTGAAGCGTCGGGTTTTAACAATTTGCCAGTGCTCACTTGAAACAGCTCAACCAGTGCCTTGTGGTGTACCTATTAGTGGCTAAACTTCAGCATGAAAACCTCCAACCTCTAGTGCCCTGAGCCTTGTCATGAGCGCAGAGAGAGCAAGTCATACCTTTCATGTCCATACATGCAGCTTTTTTCACCAGTTTCGAACTGTCTCCTTAGGGGAATCCCTGGCTTAGGAAGCGTGATCTTTTTACATTCTTTAAACGTGTTTTTAATGCTACCGAATTGGCGGACTGAAACAGCTTCTGTTATGTTTTCTGTAAAGTAGCGGAGTAACGAGTCACGGAACTGTCATTGGAACGAACGAAGGAAAGAGTAACAGAACCATCCTTTATTAACGGTGCCCACCTGAAACCGTAGCAAGACGTATGCTTCCTTTATCATTTTCAGTGCGTGTGCTACGTTACGCATCACGAGCTTAGGCAACATCTCGGCATCAGACCTGAGTGCTTACATGCATTGCCTCCTTCTTATCAGCATCGATCACTCGCCCACGCTGACCGCCCGGCAGCCCCATCCCGGCTAGTCCAGCGCGGCGGAGCGATGGGTCACGGCGCGCTTGATGAGCGTTTGCGGGTCACCGACCCCAGCCGACGGGGCCGTGACCCTGCTCACCCTCCGACCCTGACCGTGGGTCACGGCACGCGCCAGATCGGTCACCAGCTGCCGGAACGCCACCAGGTCCATGTTGCGGGCAAGCAGCGAGAGCAGGAAGAAGTCACCGAGACGGACGCTTTCCACCAGGTCCTCCAGGTCGTGCACGTCGGCGAGCCGCGCGCGCGCCTGCAGCATCGGCACGCGCATAGCCGTGGCTGACATCATGACCACGCGCCAGGCGAAGGCCAGTACGCTGGCGGCGGCCAGCAGCACCAGCCAGAACCAGAGCAGCAGGTAGATCTTCTCGTTGAGGATGTTGAGTGCCATCACGCAGATTGAGTCAATGGACTCGACGCTGCCCGAGCCGCCGACCAGCTGGAAGTTGCACTTGGTCAGCTTGGGGAATACCTCCGTCATCGGACTGGCGCCCGGGCCGCCGCTGCCGATGAAGAAGGCCAGCGCGCGCGGCCCGTAGCGCAAGAACCGGCCGCCCAGGAAGCAGTTGATGACGAAGAAGTTGAAAAAGACGTTGGCGACGTTCAACAGCTCACATAAGACGAAGCGGAAAAAGTAGCCGTTGTAGGAGCCGAGCGTCTGCGCCAGATACTGCACGAGGTTGGCAAGTCGCGTCCGCCGCTCTTCGGGGTCCATGACGGGCAGCTGCATCTCCTGCAGGAGCGAGCTCAGCCGGCGGCCCTCCACCAGCTTCCACAGCCAGTGCGGCAGGTAGAAGGCGATGCCCTGCAGGAACAGCACGAACGGCACCCACTGGTAGTAGCCGTGGTAGTGCTTCTCGGCGCGCGCGCTGTGCGCCCCGATCCCGTGGTAGGCGATGTCACCTGGGGAACAGGGAGACGGTCACAGCGACGCCGGGTACCACATCGTGGGTGACATCGCTGAGAACACCCTGGACCGAGGGCGGAATCGCCGAGAGCACGCGGCCGCAGGTGCACGGCTGACACAATCGCGAGGAAGATCAGAGGCGGGTATCAGTTCTGCCGGCAGGCCGGTGCCGCTGGCGTGAGTGCTGTACAGGGGAGTGCATGCCATGGTGTGCACGTCATAGGTGTGCCTAATAAAGGCAAACAAGCAGCGTACCGGTGTCTTTGTCTGACGTCTATATGAGTCACGTAGCCACAGTACGTAACACGTGAGTGAGTTGAAGCGGTACATTCCCATAGGCGACAGCGATTTTCAATTCCAATGGCCGGTTGAATAATTTGCAGGTCAGCTTTGCAAGTACTTTATGCTTGCGGACATCCCAGGCAATCACACTGAGCACAAACAGCTGGATTTAGACGTTCCAGGCTGATGTTAGAAACATAAGTCAAGTTATGACATTTTTGGTTCGCAGCGAGGTATGGGAAACTTTTTCCTCGCAGGGCGCGTTGCCACTGTGATTTCTTGGAATTGTAGTAGATGGGTTTTAGATGATGTTTCGGAGTAACTCTATCGGCTGTCTTTTCAGCTTCTTTTTTCGTTGGTAACGAAGTGATTCACTTGATAGAAGAAAGAAAGGCCTTCAGTTCCTGGTTTTTCGCCACTATGACCTGAAAGCTCTCATTTTCATTTAGCGACCTTCATTCGATATAGTAGGAGGCACTGCTCAAACGGCGTTATAATGCTGGATAAGGATACGTTGAGTATCGACAATGCCGTTTCTTCTTCAAAACGATAAAATGATGAAGTTTTTCCTTTACAATTTTATGAAGAAAAACAATCTGGACCCCGCTGCCGCAGGATGTCGCAATCAGCCATGCTCCAACGGGCTCTGCCGCTTGGCAGCCAGGCCGCTTGCAGTTTGTGTTGCCATGGTGTGTGATCGGTGTTAACAGTCCAGCATGGCATAGACCGGCATAGACAAATTGCATTGCCTTAACAAGGTTGTTGTAAACGTCCCTTCCGTGCTGTAGCCGAGCTGTTTCGGTTGTTGAGAACTCCATGCAAATGTGAAACATTCCTTTTCAGTGGCATTTTGCGAGCTAATGAAAACCCCATTCTGCTAACTTATTCCTTGCAGATGAATTTTGCATATTGCCTTCATTCGCTTGCAACCAAAACCGATATCACGCCGTGGGTCCTGATGGTTCAGTTGGTTAGAGCGCCTGCATTCCGATCCACCCACCCTTGACGGGGTAGGATCGGGTCGCTTTGGCGCTTGCTGTATGGCCTGCGGTCGGTGGTGGTCAGTGGTGGAGGGCGCACTAAAGGCCAGGTGACGTTGATGATGCAGGAGGGGCCATGCCGAGCATGATGGCACGGCAACTTTCGCCTCCAAATTCTGTCGTTGACCGGGAATGCGTGATCGGATGGTAGAGGTAATGGCACACTCAACAAGCACCGCTTAGCGTGTGCCCCGATTTCGGAATCCACCCAGTCAAAAAGTTTGGATTAAATCTTAAGAACTGTGTTTTTGTTGTTGTTATGCTTGCATTGCAAATTCACAAATGAAATAGCACGTACTGTGATTGGCATGTGATGTGCTTGCAGACGTCGCGCTGTATTTTTCTCTCTCTCTCTCTCTCTCTCTCTCTCTCCTCTCTCCTCTCTCTCTCTCTCTCTCTCTCTCTCTCTCCTCTCTCTCCTCTCTCTCTCCTCTCTCTCTCTCTCTCTCTCTCTCTCTCTCGCTCTCTCTCTCTCTCTCTCTCTCTCTCTCTCTCTCTCTCTCTCTCTCTCTCTCTCTCTCTCTCTCTCTCTCTCTCTCTCTCTCTCTCTCTCTCTCTCTCTCTCTCTCTTCTCGCTCTCTCTCTCTCTCTCTCTCTCTCTCTCTCTCTCTCTCTCTCTCTCGTCTCTCTCTCTCTCTCTCTCTCTCTCTCCTCTCTCCCTCTGTTACCCTCTTTCTGGGTCGCTCACTCAGGTGTTGTAGATGCGTGTCGTGATTGCATGCGCAGCTCGTGTACGAGTTATCATGGTAATTGAATTCACTGATCATCGATTCTGTTCGGATTAACTTCGGTGGTCGCCTTAGCAATGTCTTTATTCTCATTTGCGTGAACGTTAAATACATGTGCTCTTGGGCCTTTATCGCCACTAATCTGGCATCCAGTATCTTCGCAGTCCTCTTGTTTTTTTGCGTTTCTGGAAACATCACGAGATGATGACAAATGCGCCTTTGCTACAGACACCCATCCCCTCCCCTCGCAAGCATTACAGGGAATCAGTTAATTGAAGCCAACGTCAATTTGAAAGCGTCAGAGAAACTGGCAAAATGCAGGCACATCCGGTATTTATACAAGCACCGCCAGATGTGCCTATGGCGTGTTGACGGTCAAACACACACAGCTTTCTACCGGAGACCTGAAGCCGCGGGAACTGGCACAAGGCCATCATGTTTGTTTGCGTGCTGCTGTGAGCAGACCTTCGTGGTTGGCTCTCGCTTGCAGTCCATGTGGTTCCGTTTCTCACAATTAACCATAGCTGTTGAGCGCCAACGTTCATGGGAAGCCTAACGTCAGCACCCGATGGAAGAAGTAGCCGCCAAGAGGGTACTGGGCCGGTACCAAGTGTGTACCCTCGTCATGACACAATCACGCTTTAGCGACCGTAAACAACGGTGTGGGGCAAGATCCCGGCTTCTGAGCCAACAAGCTAACACTAGATGCTAGGAGATTTCGCAGAAGTTTGGTCCAAATTCGCAGGATTTCGTGGAATTCCGATGTCTAATTCCCTCCCTCCCCTCCCCCCCCCCCCCCTCCCCCCCCCCCCTCCCCCCCCCCCCCCCTCCCCCCCCCCCACCCAAGTTTGGCTTGCATCCCTGGTCGTGCTGCACTCATTATTGAGTGGCAGCTTTAGATGGCTGGACTCGTAAATCATTTCTGCCTTTCCGGTCGGTGTCCATCTATTATAGCGTGACATAGCTGGAATAAAACGTAAATCAGCCTCATCTGTAATATCTCGCCTAACACAGCTAAATCTCGTTATTTGCCGCATTTACACCTTTTTCTTTTGTACGGCAAGCGGATGATATCAAACAAAAACATTGCATTGGTTTATTTTTTACGAAGTGAGCAGAAAAAGATTATCAAAAAGAGGTTATGAAACCTCAATGAATTCGAGCAACTGAAGTATAATCGCTACTTTATTATCGACTCACCTTTTTGGTTGCAACACTTTGCATCAAAAGGTTGTCATAATTGAAAGCGCCAAGAACTAGTAGTCGCCTTCTTTAGAACCCATCCAGAGGACATAGCCACTCAAAAATAATTACGGTGCAAAGAGCTGCCTTTGTCAAGAATGACAACGTGCGAATTTGTTTAAAAATACGCCAAGCGTAAGACGAACGAATTTAAGTCAACAACAATTCACACCCATATCTTAACGCGACCAAACTTGCGCTACTTATGTCAGTCGCCTCATCTCTGGTCATCTTTCCCAGACCTGTCTGCGGAAAATTAGAGCGCACCGGACTGTCATCAAGCCGGGCTTCTCACCACCACTGTGTTCCAACAACAGCTATGTAACCACTCGTGAATTGTGCGTGTTGACCGTGAGTTCGCTGCTGCATCGACCCGTTGAGTTCGCTGCATTGACCCGTGAGTTCGCTGCATTGGCCCGTGGATTCGCGGTCTTGACCCGTGATTTCACGTTATTGACCCATGAGTTCGCGGTATTGATTCGCGACCTCTTCTGTGCTGACCTGCGCACCGGAGCTGCGCAGATCTTCACAGCGGAGCTGAGTGGCGCGGTCTCACCACACTCCACCCTCACCGTGACGCGGTGACGTCACATGCCCGCGGTGACGTCACATGCCCGCGGTGACAGGTCATTCGTCACGTTCGTCACGACGGAGGGGGGAGAGGGGGGGGGGGTGCCACGTGTCGCGGGTGTGCCTGGCGACACGCGGCACTCTGACTCTCCCCCCCCCTCTGTCACACGGAGACGAACGCTCGCTAGAGACGGGAGTGGGTTGCAGGCTGGCGGACGCTGCCACAAAACCGACCTGGACAACTATGGAAATGGCCTGGGACAACATGGTCTTAAATTTAAGAGCCCCTTTCGGAGGCGCAGTGTACATTGTCTTTGATTGGATGGAAAATTCCGGGGCACGGGTTCTTCCTCGAATGGGATGCCGAAACCGGTACGGTTTAAATGAGGAAACTGCCTTCAGCCACCAAAAATAGTTCATGCGATGAGAATGCGTGTCGCGATTCAGGTTCTGTTGCTGCTGAACAGCTGACGGTTGTTGAGTGAAGCTGATGGGTAGCCACCCAAAAGGGCCTCTAAACTCTGTGCTTGCGACTGCGGACCACATTGGCGGCAGGAAAGCGTCCGGTCATGTCCCACGAAGGCCTTCCAAGCTGCTTTTTTGCTGGCCGTAATCTGCCAATCAAGCGCCTCCTCCCATAAACGCCACCCACATGACGTGAGACCTCTGAAACTACATTGAATCCCATCGGCCTATATCCACTTTTATAGCGGCGGGATTATGCCCGCCACCTGACTCAACTGGCACATCTGTTCTAAGAACTGAGAAGCGCTTTCGAAAGTCGGGAAAGGCAACGTAAGCCATTGCTTAGATCTGATGTTGCAAATGGATGTATGCACTAGAGCTGCATTTGTTTTTTTTAGCTCCGGCTCCGGCTTTGGCTCTGGCTCTGACTCCTGCACCGTCGAGCACCAAGCAACACTTAGGCGCGGCAGGATAGGGAGGCGCGGACCTGAACACACGATCTGAAAGTCATTACACGTCAAGTTCTGTACGTGATCGAGGTATTGTTTTAGCTCATGAAGGATGAGTGATGAGGGCAGCAACCAAAAGAAACGAACGTTTTCTACAAAATTAGGCGCACTTCATCAGGTAAAATGATACCAGGAAATTTGTGTCAACAGTAATTTTGGTTATTTCAAACAGGACTGGTTGCAGAAGACGATTCCTCTTTTCCATTTGCTGTTTTGTTGATAAAGTGAACTATCACCACTCATAACATAACTTTGCAAAAATACTTGGGTGTTTAAGCAACCTGTTTTCATCTGATGCAGATCTTCCACGGTCACCATGTGTTTTGTGTTAAAAGTGGAATGATTAGTTCCCAGGTGTCCTTAAAAGAATATTTCACACAAAATTATCCATCAACAGATTTGTATTATGCCCGTCATATACGCCAAAGTAGGTTGATGAAATACACCCGCGTACTTCACCTACACGCATGGCTACTCGCGTGACACTTAACAGGATCAGACCGTAACCTGTCACTGGGTGCTGCCTTAAACGTGTGTCCCTTTCCGACCATGCTCTGGCCCGCTGCACATAAAAAATATCACCGCTGTACACGGCGGCAACCACTTGCTGTCGGAATAGGTAGAAACCGTGATGAAATGGACTGTGTGGTTATGTGATCATGGTGGTAGACACCACCTGTGAGGAAATTGTAGTCTCAGGTAAAACGGCTGTGATTACTTTGCAAACCAAACATTTCCGGAAATATGCTGCTGGTTAAGACATTGAAAGCTAGTTGAGTTATTCAATCACATCCAAAGCGTGTGCGTGATTTCTTCGTTCACTGACCCGCCAAGCGGTAAAACTGATTATTTTCTGGATCCGATGCTCCTCTGTCCTGAGCCTGTGCCGTAAATTGATATACGGTGCTGGCAGATGAGGTCAATAATGCTTTGATTATCGACTTGATAGAAGCTTTTGAAAAAAAAATGTTTTGCATGCATGAGCACTATCAGAACATCGGGACATGAATTTGATCCTGCTTAAGATCATTTACGTCTTTCCGCTTATGCTTTGAGTCGATTTTGATGCACCAAATGATGTCTGTGGCTTGTCATTAATGGAGGGTCATCCTTGGCTTTTTAGGCTGGGAATATAGACACATCATGGAGATCCGCTGAGCATTAAGTGTGTTTCACGTGCAGTGCCAGCTTATTCACGATAGAGACACATCTAATGTTTCAAAACTGGAGTTAGTATATTTCAAATAAAGTCCACCGACAACAAGAACCTGGCGGCATCCCCACTCGGGCACCACGTATGCATTTCAGGATGACAAAGAGCTCTTAATAGAACGATGACGATAAGTCGTATGACTTCATTGGCAGGTATCCGATGCTCTAAGCAACCAAGATCATGATTTTGAATGGGAATGCTTTGCACATATCCAAACCATTGTTTCGACATACCACGTAATACTTGTTGTAACCTTGAGAAACCAGCGTTGGAAATGGAAAATGCTGACTTTTGCTCTGCTTTTGGATTTGCTTATTTTTGTTTGCTCGTCACTGATATTTCCTCGTCTTCTTTGTCACATGCTGTACGGTTCACACTCCACATTCGATTTGTGTGAGCAAGGTTTATTTGGGAGCTGATTAAGTGCCATCCTTGCATCGCATTATATGATTGGCTATCATGTCCCTATTCAGGGGTAAGGGGCTGGTAAGAACAAACGCTGGCTTGAGACTTTCTGGTTACACCCAATTTTGTCCTTGCAGGATTCGCTGTTAAAGGAAAGTGAATGCATGCAAGTCAAAACGGTAGGCAGAAACATTGATCTATTTATTTTTGTCAACCCTTCATGGAATCAAATGCTAAAGAAAGTTCAATCTTTGGTATGATTGAAAAACTACGTATTAGCGCATGAATTGGCTCAGGTGTTGTTATGTTTCACTTCAGCTTTCAGGTAGTAGTAAACATGTTCCGTTGCTCTTAGGTAGCGATCCAGTGATGCTCAAAACAGGACAAGCCTTTTCCACGAAGCTGAACATGTCAAGTACTCACAGTTTACGGAGCTACAGCCATTTTCTACCTTCATGCTCACTTGCTCCGATATCAGTATGCCGGTGCTCAATGCTGGGTCTCTAAAAGATGTAAGGATGGCTTCACATGTAAAAGTCATGCAACCGACAACGTAATGCACATTTTGCATGCCTACTGGCGATGTTACATTATTTTCTCGTTGTTGGCTTGCCTTGCTTTTTTAAGAAATGCAAGGAAGTACCCTGAATTCTAAGCGTTCGTAACCATGTTTTCAAGCTTGCTGTGTATAGCGTTTAGCTTATTCTTCGGGAGTTGCTCAGACCTAGAAGTAAAAACTTCTCCAAAAAGCTACATCTCATGGAAGTGTTTTTACGGATACACCTTGACCACGGCCAACTGTGGATCATGCACCACTTTTGGTACGCGGTGTCTAAAAATAGCCACGGCCCCGCGTGTGCGGACCTAAAACATTGCACCATTACTACGCTCGTAAGTGTTAATTTCTCGTGCTGGTTGAAACGGAACTGAAGATAAGGATCACGAGACGCGCGTCTGTAGCCGTGTGCGCCACGCATATAATCTTTGAGACTTGCTCAACGACATCTCCTTAGATCGCATTCCGTTATCACAAGCTCTCCATATCTGTGAAACTCAACACCACTGTGATAGCCTCGGTGCGTCACTACGTAGGCGCCACACGGAGACGGAACTGGCGAAGTGTGAGTGTTTGTAGTGATATCGGTAATGGAGGTCATGGCGCCGATAAAAGACAGGCACGCCGTCCATAACCGTCAGCGAGGAAGTGGCCTTGGCGGCACGGCCAGTGGCTGAGCTGAGGCAGCACCGTCAGCGCCACAGCTGACGGCCAGTGGCTGAGCTGAGGCAGCTCCGTCGGCGCCACAGCTCACGGCCACACGGCGCCGGCCACCCCCGCAGTCCGTGATCAGGGCCACGTGCTATTCACACCCGACAATGGCGCTGCCAGCTATTCCTGTCAGGTGTGGCTGTCCGCCGCGCGCACGCCGCGCGGCCGCCGCCGCCGCGGCCGCATGGCGCGACAGCGGTCACAGGCCCGTGGCAAGCGGCCTGAACCGGTCGCGTGACGTTCTATGTTGACTATGCGCCGGCACAGCTCCGTCGAACCCCGACCGGCTAAGGTCGCGTTCCTGTAAAACTCAGGAGTGAGTGGGTGGTGATGATGGTGTCAGAAGGAAAAACCACACGCGGCCCCTGGTAACGGGAAAGGAGTGATGGGATTTGATCACTTGAGTTGTTCACTGCTGCAGAAATAATGGGCTTAAATACCCAGTGACGCTTAACAAGCAGGTGATGTCGGAAAAGAGCCGTCCAGGGTGCACTTACACTGCGTGGAACGAGAACGAGAACGAGACCAAGCGTGCTCAATGTGAGGATGGCGCCGATGCAGGGTACAGCAAGCGGCGCCGATCCAACAAGCCCGACGACACCACTCACTGTGCGGGTACTGGTCGGACTTGTCCAGCAGCTGCGGCAGCGTGTAGGTGGTGGTGATCCAGCAGTTAAGTGTTGATAACGTCGTTGGAGATGCCCGGTCTGGGTCGGCGTGGTGACACGTTACTGGGCTGCCGAACAGGCTGCTGGGCCAAACATCGCTGACGAGCTGACGGCAAACAGAGCACGGTGTCACGGGTGCTCCCTCCCTCTCTCTCTCTCTCTCTCTCTCTCTCTCTCTCTCTCTCTCTCTCTCTCTCTATCTCTCTCTCTCTCTCTCTATCTATCTCTCTCTCTCTCTTCTCCTCTCTCTCTCTCCCTCTCTCTCTCCCTCTCTCTCTCTCTCTCCTCTCTCTCTCTCTCTCTCTCTCTTTCTATCGCACCTTGCCTTAAGACTCAGAAAACAACAAGGGTTCTTGGTTGCTAAATCACTCAACTGACATTTCAGCAAACACCAGAAAGCAAAACATATTTCGGGGTAAAACCAAACGCCAGTCGTAATCGCCGTCATCTGATAATGTTTTTTACTAGGTGCGTGTGTGCCGATCGAAGGTTGGATAGTGCGTGGCATAAAACGTTGGCCTTTTCGTCAAATCTTAAGGACATCATCAAACTTTTCATCAGATCCTAAGATTATCATCTAGTTCTTCGCAACTGCAAGATAAAGGGCTTCTATTTGGATGAGGAAAGTGAAGCAATTAATCGCACCAAAAAAGGTCTGAAAAAGGCCTTAAGCTTTCGCTGAAAATGGAACAGCGACGATGAAAACTGGAATCAGGATATAAAGTGCATTTTGTCATTCAGCTAAATGGAATGGTGCAATTGGGATTGGTGTGAAACTTTTTAATAGCACAGCGGCGGGGGTGTAGTTTCGAATTCAGTTTAGGAAACTCCAGCTTCCCTTTTTCCGCTCTCAACTTTGCCGCCAGCCCCAACCCTATCTGGAAAAGGGAAGTGGGCTGACTCAGTGGATGAAAGGGGATTTAATCTACTTCCCTTTTTCAGGGAAAGGGGAGGCCGTCCAACTAAATCCCCGCGGTCCATCTCCCCCAACAACCCATTTTGCGAACCTCAACCCCGGTGTGTAGTTCTGCAAAATAACTTAGGGGAAGCGAGCAGAATAAATACTAAGTCTAGCCCCTCCCCCCCAAAAAAGGGTTTACCTCCAGATTTATCCCACGATCTTCTCAAATTTGGGACGACTGAGGCTCCCTACCCCAAATGAAAGGACTACATTTCCGTCAGATCTATGTTCGGCAGAGTACCCACTACTCCGTGACGATATTTTCCCTTGCAGACTTACGTCCGAGGCCGCGGGCGATTCTCGGCAGGGCTATTTCCTCATGAAGATTTTTACCTGAAGCTTTTGTGTATTGAGTGGGAATAATTAAACTAGTATATTGCTGCGCAGATTCTAGCGTATGGAAATTTCCACTTATAGCTGCAGTAACGGTGACCGTTTCGAATGGTATTTTAGTGTACACCTGACATCAGCAGGTCCCCCTTCCCTGAAGACAAACGTGACACATTTGGTGGCGCACCCTCACCAAGGAAGATGAATGTGGTCAGCCGATAGTGGAGCTGGAACAGTTTATTGTCGATGCGGACCCCGTCCGGTCCCTTGCCCTTGATGAACTTGATAATATCGCCGAAGGCCTCAGCGACGGCCATCTTGCCTGGCAACCGAGGTGGTCCCTGGAACAAAGAAGTCCAGGCGTGGGCTGATGGTGTGACAAGATGACGTCGAGCAGGCGCAGGACGGGTCGAGGTCACGCGCGCAGTCACTCTGCTGTCAGGGGCACGCATACAGAGACCTAGGCTTGGGCGAGCTGCAGCGGCTTGATTGCGTGCGTGCCGGACTGGGCGTCAAACGGCAGTCAGCAATAGAGAACGGGGACGCCGTCGGTGAATCGACAGTCGCATCAAGGCTGGCGTACCAAATCATAAGCATTTGAGACTCGCTGCGGCTATTTTGAGCACGAAGGCAGACGTTCAAGTGGTTGTTGAACTTGAGAGTTGGGGCGCGGGTGCTGGGATGTATTTTTCATTGAGTCAAAACCGGAGAGTGCAGGGTGCAAGGTGCATCAAGCTTATGTGCAGGGCCGGGTCAAAGCCAGAGAAGGCCGCAGGGTGCGCATGACCGGGTCAGAGCCGGGGGGGGGGGCCGCAAGGTGTGCAGGGCCGAGTCAAAGCCAGAGAGGGCCGTGGGCTGTGTGGGCCAGAGAAACACCAAACATGCAAGACGCGTTGTTCTTCTTACTCGTGGATGCGCAGTCCTGGTGGATAGAGAGAAGAGAACTCTATGGAATGGCTTCAAGGCATGGCAAAGAATAGCATATAACGGCATATATACCGTGCGGTATGGAGTGAGCGACTGAAGTGCATTCACATAAAGAGAGGCTGTTCCCTTCCGTCGGCACATCTCCGCGCAGTGACCTGCGTAACAGCTGACCCTTCTGTTGACATACGGTTGTGTAGAGACCTGGGCAACGGCTGACCCTCCCGTTAACACGCGGTTGCGCAGTGACCTGCGTGACGGCTGATCCTCCTTTTGACACACGTCTGCGTAGTGACCTGCGTAGCGGCTGAACACACGCTCAGCGCGCAGTTCTATATGCAAGGATGCCATGGCTCTCCATAAAAAACAGGTAAATGACAGAAACAGATACGTTAAGTTAGCGGAAGTTCAATGGTAGCACCAGTTGTTCTTCTGGAAATGGCTTCATCCATACGAAATGGCGTTCCAGATTGCACGGCGATGCCACCGAGCATTTTCTGCTGAATGGGCTGATGCCATGCTCTCCATCTCAGGACACTAACGCAAGGGAGTCCTCGACAGCATTTAAAACCTAAAATTCAGGTTTTTTATCTTTATCGTTAAGCACGGTTGTATAATATTGGACCGCAGAACATACAGGGCACGTGATTAGACCTGGAATTAATAAAAACTAACTGGTTTATGCTGCAGTATTATATAATAGGTTTTACTACAACCCCGCTCATTGCCTTGGACAAATATTGAAAACTATCTGCGCTACAGAGCTAGAAATTACCAATATAGCCAATTTTATCACCAATGGAGTAATTCCAATGGTGTGCTGATTTATTTTCAGGTAGAAAGTACGCAGACTGCATTCCACTTCGGGAGGAGAACCTGCAAAAATTCCTCACGAGGGACGGGGGATCGGAGTGCGAGTAACTCAAGCAGCGCCAAGTTTACGGACTTTGTAGATGTTTTAGAGGCTTTTTAGAAGTTCTTAGGATACGTTTGGGTCTCAAATCTTGGGGATGCATATACGCTGAGAGGCACAAGCTCTCCTTATCTCCAAACTTGGGAGGTTCACACTTGTGCTCAGGCTTACGCACCAGCCGACTTATGTACGCTTCGACCACTCCAGACATCTCTCGCTGTTTTTTTTTTTTTAGCAGGAGCGGGTCATTGAGGTGTTCCTGTCATGCAAGACTTATGGCTTGGCCTCCATCGAGTGTTCCATTTATTAGGAAGCAGTTACATGTTACCGTGACCTCATGGCTTGCCGTATGGTCACAATAATTTGCATTTGTTTTTGAGTGGCATTCAGTGACAATTTGCTACGACCAGTGACCACACGAGCGCGGTCTGCACCAATGCCGCTCGAACGAATCGCAAACGACGGAACGCTGGTCCTGCAGCGTGAGGCTGGGCCGCAACTTCCTCACTGACGCACGTGGCGCGTGAATCACGTGCGCACAGTCAGGCCTCCCTCGCGAGACGCCCGCCGATGCGGGTGCGTGGGTGCGGCCGGGTGGGCAACGCATCTAGTTCAGCCGGGTCGGCCCTGGCTGAGTGGCGCGTAACGCGTGACGAGACCGCGGCGTGACGGAGGCCTGCGGGCGGCATGTCTCACTGGGGAGTCACCTGTCGGTCAGAGTCCCCGGGCCGCGGAGTGTACAGCATTGGCCGCCGCGAGTGCGGGTCGGCTGCAGCTGTGCATACCGTCACGGTCTATAACAGGTAGTGAAACATTAATTATGCTTGCCGGTGGAACGTCCCAGCCCTGTCTGCCCACCAGGCGGTCATGATTCACTCTTCGGTTGAACGCTGTAAACTGCGTCTATGCATTGAAACTTCCCGATCATTTGGGATTTTCACTGGCATCCTTTGTGGTGTTTTTGCAAGCTTATCAACACGCTCGCTACCTAAATAGTTTGTGGTTTGGACGGTTTGAGCGATGCCCAAAATTACGCGATCCAGCCGGTGTAAGACGCAGCTAATAACGTGAGCCGTCCGTGCGTCGGTCAGTGACTAACTCACTTGGCGCCATCCTGTCCACGTGTTTGCCTCTTGCGCAATATCTCATCCGGACTGACTCGACGTCGTGGAATGCGGGCTGTAGCACTGCAGGAGAAAAAGATAAAAGCTTGACCCCGGTCATGCCTATGACAATGTCTGAGCCTAGAAAATGAGACTCCATGGCAGAATGGTTAGCCATTTTGTTTTGTATTCGTCGCCAGGTTGTCGGCGCTTTATCGGGCAGATACAAGCAAGTCTCGGTTTTAGCATGACTCCGCTACATTCTCACTTTATTCTGCTTCGTGCGGCCCACTGGTCTGTGCGATACAAGGTCACAGCCTGGCCATTTTTGTTCTCAGTGGAGCCGGGTGGGAAAGATTATAAACGGTCTCTAGACGTGACGGCCCAACCCTGGCCGGCGTCCATGAGGCCAGACTCACGGCTGCGGGCCGCCGGGATGGTGGGGGCGCGGCTGAGGAGCGCTGTGTGCAGGCCACGTGGTAGGGGCGCGGGTGAGGAGCCCAATGCTGAGCGGAGGTCACGTGATAGGGGCGCGGGTGAGGAGCCTAATGCTGAGCGCAGGCCACGTGGTAGGAGAGCGAGCAGGTGGGGGTCTGATGCCAAACGCAGGCCACGTGGTAGGGGCGCGGGTGAGGAGCCTAATGCTGAGCGCGGGTCACGTGGTAGGGACGCGGGTGAGGAGTCTAATGCTGAGCGGAGGTCACGTGGTAGGGGCGCGGGTGAGGAGCCTAACGCTGAACGCAGGCCACGTGGTATGGGCGCGGTTGAGGAGCCTATTGCTGAGCGCAGGTCACGTGGTAGGGGAGCGGGTGAGGGGCCTAATGCCGAACGCAGGGCACGTGGTAGGGGCGCGAGTGAGAAGCCCATTGCTGAACGGAGGTCACGTGGTAGAGGCGCGGGTGAGGAGCCTAGTGCAGAGCGCAGGTCACGTGGTAGGGGCGCGGGTGAGGAGCCTAATGCCGAGCGCAGGTCACGTGGTAGGCGCGCGGGGAGGAGCCTGATGCTGAACGCAGCTCACGTGCTTTCTGGCTCCACCCAGTACTGTTGATACAACGTTGATGCTGATACCGTGCTGCCGTTTCTCTATGCTGGCCGGAAAACACCGGAAATCGGACAACACTGGCCGGAAAACACCGGAAAGAGCGGGAGGTAAGGGATACGCACGCGTCGGTGTACGTAGGGGCGGGGCGGGAGAACGAGCATTTCCGGAAGTCATTAACTGTTAATGGTCTAAGCAAGTGCGTGTTATGAACGCGAGCGTGCGAATGGATTGCAAAAGTGTTTTTTTTTTGTCGTCCATCCTCAGGTTAGACTCAGTTCTAAGGCTTATGGGCATGTTCCACATTTCAAAATATTGAAGCAAGCATCAGATATGATGAAATAAACTCATTTATAACTATTGGTATACTTTTAAATGGAACCGCTGCTCTAGACGACACAATTTCTCTGTTTAGTAATGTGTCCCTCAATACACCAATGTTTAATTACGTTCTCGAAGCATGCACAACATTGACACATGCACATCATCAATCCTCGATGGTTTAAAAGTTATCTTCGCGGACGGCGGGAGACAGTAAGGTGGTTAACT